ACTCTCTCAACCTTTCCTTCAATAAAATAACCAACAATAATCCTGGTAAAACCCTCCCAAGAGCTCTTGTTTATGCTGTTTTGTTGGTTGTTTTGGGGTACTTTTTCCCTCTTGTGGTGGGAACTGGAGCTATGCCAGTTAACATTGAGCTATGGTCTGATGGATACTTCTCAGAAGTTGCTACAGTGATTGGAGGGGTTTGGTTAAGGTGTTGGGTTCAAGCAGCATCTGCTTTGTCAAATATGGGGATGTTTGTGGCTGAGATGAGTAGTGACTCATTCCAACTCTTGGAGATGGCAGAACGAGGCATGGTTCCTGAGATCTTTGCTAAAAGGTCACGTTATGGGACCCCTCTTGTTGGCATTTTGTTTTCTGCATCTGGGGTGGTTTTGCTATCATGGTTGAGCTTCCAAGAGATTGTTGCTGCTGAGAACTTTTTGTACTGCTTTGGGATGCTTATGGAATTTGTAGCATTTGTTAAGTTAAGGAGGAAATTCCCATCTGCCTGTAGGCCTTATAAAGTGCCTGTTGGGAAAACGGGAGCAGTGTTGATTTGTGTGCTTCCAGCACTGTTGATATTTGTGGTTTTAGCTCTTGCTTCTTTCAAGGTTTTCATTATAAGCCTCTCAGCTGTGATCATAGGGCTTGTCTTGAGGCCTTGTTTGAAATGTATGGAGCAAAAAAGATGGCTAAGATTCTCTGTTAATCCTGATCTTCCAGATATTTGTGAGAATTGAATGCAACCCTTTTTTCTTTTTCGTGCCCCCTAATGCTTAATTCCTGTTTCTCTGTTCAATTGTCTCTCTGATGCTCCAATGTCTATGCCATTGAGACTAGTATTTCAATTCCTATATGATGTCATAGTAAAAAAATTATAAAGTGAACTAATCAGAAATGATAATTAATATTGCTTTTAAGATAGATAGTTATTGTAAAAGTTAAAAAAGCATACCATTAATGGGGATTTGTGATCAAGTCATTGTAACTTTTACACTATCACTCAAGGTTCAAATTCTTGCCTTCTCAGACTGAAGTCTGAACGTCTGGAAACCTAGGTGCAT